TTCTAAAGGTGCTATTGAGATTAAATTTTCACCACGTTGGTAACAACCCATGCAATCCGTACATACAAAGAAACCAAAACAAATAAGTTCAGAAACTAAGTTATGTGTAATAAAATGGAATGACACAGGGAAAAAGTATTGAACACTAACTGAAATGCATTTAATACTTCGAACACAATCCTTTGTTGGTAATGACAACTTCAAGACGCCTCCTGTATTGAGAAACTAGTGAATCAGGTGTGATTTTGGCCCTTTCTTCCACACAGTCTTCAAATCTTAAAGATTCTCTGGGCCTCTTCTATGAACTCTGATCTTTGGTTTCCATAGACTTTCTAATGGATTCAAGTCAGGTGATTGGCTGGGCCATTCTAGCAGCTTTATTTTCTTTGTTTGAAACCAGTTTAGAGTTTCCTTGGCTTGGTGTTTGGAATTATTGTCTTGCTGAAATGTCCACCCTCGTTTCATCTTCATCATCCTGGTAGAAGGCATGAGATTTGTATCAAATATGCCTTGGTACATTTGTCCATTCATCCTTCCTTCAATGATATGAAGTTTGCCAGTACTGTATGCTGAAAAGCAGACCCACCCCATGATGTTCCCACCTCCAAACTTCACTGTTGATATGGTGTTTTTGGGGTGCGGTGCCATTTGACCTCCAAACATGGATCCAAATAGTTAAATTTTGGTCTCATCTGACCACACTATATTCTCCCAGTATTTCACAGGCTTGTCTAAATGTTTTGCAGCAAACTTTAAATGAGCTTCAACATGCTTTTTTTTCAGCAATGGAGTGTTGCGTGGTGAGTGTGCATAAAGGCCATGGAAGTTGAGTGCATCACTTATTGTTTTCTTTGAAACAATTGTACCTGCTAATTCCAGGTCTTTCTGAAGCTCTCCACAAGTGGTCCTTGGCTCTTGGACAACTCTTCTGATAATTCTTTACACTCCTCTGTTAGAAATCTTGCCAAAAGAACCTAGACAAATGGTTCAATACTTATTTTATCCACTATAGCCTGTTCAGGGGTGTGGACATTTTTGAAAAAAACTACTTATCTAAGGGACTAAATCTGTTTCCCAATAAAAAAAAATAAATAAATAAATTCTGAACTTTAAGTAAAAAAACCGTATTTAAAATCGGAGGTTATATTAGGAAAGTTTTAAAAAAAACAAAAGGGGTTTTATAAATAAATAAATGACTTAAACGTTTAATAATTTTAAAAAACATTGCACTGTTCATCTCCTCATCTCCCCCCACCCTGCCTGTCTCCAGCACCACACTCAGGGACTAGCAGGGAGGAGAGAGACACCATGCAGTGTAATGAGCACTGATTGGGTGCTTGTCAGGAAAGTGGAGTGTCGGTCTTATCCTTGATCCCTTTCGCTGCCAAAGCTGTTGTTTTTTGCACAAGATTAAAAAAATCATTTTAGGCCTGAACATTACACAAAACTCCCAAACATGATATATTTTCTAAAATCAGAGACCCTAGAGAATAAAATAATGGTAGTTCCAATTTTATATGTCACGTGATATTACTGCAAAGTTTCAGTAAAAAATACACGCTAGTTCATTCTAGGGCACAAAAAAAAAAGTAATAAACTACCCTATTTTTTTGTAAAATATAAAAGATGAGGTTGCAGCGAGTAAATAGATATCCAATATGTCAAACGATAAATGTGCTTGCACTCGTGAAATAACAACAAACTTTAGTATTCTATATTTTCTATAGGTGACGCTTTTAAAGCCCCTTCTAGGTCATCAGTATAGTGTTACGGAGGAGGTCTGGTGCTAGAATTATTGCTCTCATTTTGGCATGAGTGGCAATATGTAACGTATATCACAATCGACGTTTACATGCATAGGCGCTCCAGTGTGTGCTTTTACGTTTGTACGTACGTATATGTGGGAGGGAGGGGCTCAATTTTATTTGAGGGGGGGGGGGGGGGGGAGAATGTTATGTGCTTGGGTGTAACTTTCATTTTTCACAATTTTTTTTCTTCATCACACAGGGGACTATATTTTCTATAGGTGACACTATTTTCTATAGGTGGTGCTATGCAGAGCAATACAAAGCAGCAAGTTGGTATTGACAGGGGAAAGATCTGTATGGTTTACATACAGACCTTTCCTCTATCAGTGCTCCTTGGCGATCACCGGGTGGCGGCGGGGAATCTCCAGCCACGACCCAGTGATTGACAGCTGTAGCTGCCAATGGCGCTCAGGCTCAGCCGGAAATACAAAATCATGTACAGGTGAAACTCGAAAAATTAGAATATCGTTCAAAAGTTCATTTATTTCAGTAATGTAACTTAAAAGGTGAAACTAATATATGAGATAGACTCATTACATGCAAAGCAAGATAGTTCAAGCCGTGATTTGTCATAATTGTGATGATTATGGCTTACAGCTCATGAAAACCCCAAATCCACAATCTCAGAAAATTAGAATATTGTGAAAAGGTGCAATATTCTAGGCTCAAAGTTTCCCACTCTAATCAGCTAATTAAGCCACAACACCTGCAAAGGGCTCCTCAGCCTTTAAATGGTCTCTCAGTCTGGTTCAGTAGGATCACAATCATGAGAAAGACTGCTGACCTGACAGTTGTGCAGAAAACCATCATTGACACCCTCCATAAGGAGGGAAAGCCTCAAAAGGTAATTGCAAAAGAAGTTGGATGTTCCCAAAGTGCTGTATCAAAGCACATTAATAAAACGTTATGTGGAAGGGAAAAGTGTGGAAGAAAAAGGTGCACACGCAGCAGGGATGACCGCAGCCTGGAGAGGATTGTCAGGAAAAGGCCATTCAAAAGTGTTGGGGACTTTCACAAGGAGTGGACTGAGGCTGGAGTCAGTGCATCAAGAGCCACCACACACAGATGGATCCTGGGCATGGGCTTCAAATGCCGTAGTCCTCTTGTCAAGCCGCTCCTGAACAACAAACAAACATCAGAAGCTCCTTACCCGGGCTAAAGAAAAACAGACCTGGTCTGTTGCTCACTGGTCCAAAGTCCTCTTTTCTGATGAGAGCAACTTTTGCATCTCATTTGGAAACCAAAGACCCAGAGTATGGAGGAAGAATGGAGAGGCACACACACTGCAAGATGCTTGAAGTCCAGTGTGAAGTTTCCACAGTCTGTGTTGATTTGGGGAGCCATGTTATCTGCTGGTGTTGGTCCAATGTGCTTCATTAAGTCCAGGGTCAATGCAGCCGTCTACCAGGAGATTTTGGAGCACTTCATGCTTCCTTCCGCAGATGAGCTTTATGGGGATGCGGACTTCATTTTCCAGCAGGACTTGGCACCTGCCCACACTGCCAAAAGCACCAAAACTTGGTTCAATGACCGTGGGATTACTGTGCTCGATTGGCCAGCAAACTCGCCTGACGTGAACCCCATAGAGAATCTATGGGACATTGCCAAGAGAAAGATGAGAGACATGAGACTGAACAATGCAGAAGAGTTGAAGGCCGCTATTGAAGCATCCTGGTCTTCCATAACACCTCACCAGTGCCACAAGCTGATAGCTTCCATGCCACGCCATATTGAGGCAGTAATTGCTGCAAAAGGGGCCCAAACCAAGTACTGAGTACATATGCATGCTTCTACTTTTCAGAGGTCCGATATTGTTCTATGTACAATCCTTGTTTTATTGATTGCATGTAATATTCTAATTTTCTGAGATTGTGGATTTGGGGTTTTCATGAGCTGTAAGCCATAATCATCACAATTATGACAAATCACGGTGTTAGAACTATCTTGCTTTGCATGTAATGAGCCTATCTCATATATTAGTTTCACCTTTTAAGTTGTATTACTGAAATAAATGAACTTTTGCATGATATTCAAATTTTTCGAGTTTCACCTGTAATGTATGTATATATATATATATATATATATATATATACACACATATATATATATACCTACACATATATATATATATACACACACACACACACACACACACACACACACGATTTTCTGCAGCCCTGTCACCCTGTAGCAGTACTTCTGCTATAGGGCAGTTGGGAAGCAGTTAAAGGATACACTCACCTTTTGACCAAAAATAATAAATGCAACTTTTTTTGCAGGTTAAAAAAATGTGCATTTATTATTTTTGGTTGCAGGAGTTTGAAAAGCTGCCATGCAGGTCTCATGCAGACCTGTTAGTATATCTGCTTGCCCGTATGGGATGTACAGGCAAGCAGATATACTGACAGGTGGAATCAATGAACTACCACAGCGCTGTGGGGCACCGAGGTAGTTCATTGAGAACTATAAGCCGACAGCCGCAAAGAACTCTAAGAATAAATGACATGGCGTGTGGGCAGAGCCCTGCACGGCCAAGCTCTATTCAAAAAGTGACAGCTAGCATGGGGAACTTCTCCCCGTTCTGCTGTCATGGGGGAGGGTATAGGGTGTGGGCTGCAGCATTGGGAACATTGTACATGTTCCATCTTACAAACAGGTGGAATATATTATCATGTTCCCAAAAATGGACTTATCCTTTAAGGTACAACTGAACCAGTTTTTTTTTTTTTTCATTTTTATTTTTTTTTTTTTTTGTACAGTCCTCCTTTAATTCCGTATAACTGTTTTATGTCACAAAAATTGAGGCATCCCCGGCACACAAACAAGCAGACCAGAAAAAGATATCATGACTTTTACCTATGAACACTGGAAACCAAATAAATAATTACTTACACCCCTGCACATACTGGTTGAAAAAATGAACCAATGGCATTTTCCTTTAAGGATTGTTAGTCGTAGCACAAAAGATGGGCAGCCATTTGTATCCTGAAGATATTGATAACACATCAAAAAATAATCAGATTTAGAAGTAATGGTAATGAAGCATCTCAACAATATGACCCATTTCAAGACATACACAGAGACTTATGAATATTGTTGTGGCTCAATAAATATCTGCTTCACTGTGTATAGGCAATAAGTGCTATTAAAGTGCAGCCATAAAGCTTGATGGACCCTGTAAAATGTGTTCACCTCTTCCCGTAGTTCCTTCATTCGCTCCTCAAAGTCATAGTCTTTTTGTTTTTCCTCCATTTTTTTCTTGTTTACTTCAAATCGTTTTTTAACTTGATCAAGTGTAGAACGCTCTACTCTCATGGACATCCCCAAGTTCCGTTGATCTGAAAGGCAAGAATCATTGCAAAATCAATAACAGTTTAGGTGTCTCTTGGTTTTTAAATCCTGGACGTGTCTGCCCAGCAACGCACTACAACATTCTATGGAGCTATTTAGCTGAAGGGCATTCTATCCGTCTGAAGTCCAGAGAATTAATGGCAGGGACAGATTTAATTTCGGAAGAACGTGCAGAATTAATGCTAGAGACGAGAAGAAAGGACGAATGTTGCATCAACACAAGACCCCTTCCCAGACTCGACACCGCAAAATGACTTGTAATGAATAGAGACATTAAGAAATATCACACGCATATAACAGGGCACACTCAAGCAAACAACCATTTGCTTTGATCACCATTTAGTGGTTGCCGACAAAACAATTTATTCTTTTTGTCATGATGACCCATTCCGATAAACCATGCTCTGAATAATTAAAACCTGTTCATTCTGTCACTATCACAGCAAGAAGCGAGGCCAGCTATACATATCAATGAAATGGTCTGAGCTTCAATAACAATAATTACAGTCTTATGCAAAAGTTAGGGCACCCCCAGTCTTATTAAAGGTTTTGTTTTTCCCAGTGAACAGAATTCAGAATAATCTCTGCAGAAAAGAAAAATCTAGAACAAACATTTCTTGCTCTACTACTCTAAGGTGACAGCCTGAATGCAATAAAGGGACAAGTATGTGCCTGCAAGTACATTTTATTACCTTCACAAGCGTCCAAGGACCCTTGAAACCCAGAATTCTAATATGCAAATCTTCACTTCTTTAGGGAACGTTTATGTTTGGCCCATACCCTCCAAGTGTACACAAACCCTTATTAAAGAATGAGGTTATCCATCGCTTTAAGAACCAAAAGGGATTAGCGGGAGGCAGGAGAGGATAGAATTGTGTTCCATAATTATTATACAGGATTTATATAGTGCCAACAGTTTGCTCAGTGCTTTACATCGCAGTGAAATTCAAGTTTTATACATTAGGGTGTCCTAGGATTTAGATATCCAGTAGTGGTGGGGACTTCTAAGTAAAATAGCAGAAAATGCATTGAGGCGGTCACTTTAGAAATAATGTGTCTGCAAAAATTACAGAAAAAAATCTGTGAAGTGTACACTGCACCCTATTTAAAATTTATATGATCAAAAAAAACCTGCCACAGAGGCATCAAGAGTCATCATAATTAGAAGCGCAACTGTTCAGGTGGTATGATGTGACCATATGTCTCCAATTAACTTTTAATTTGCTTATCTTTAGCACAACAGAGTTCAGGACCAAGGCAAGCAACAGGTAAGGCAGATGTTTTCTTATTTTCTCTCTCTGAGCAGTTGCTGTTCAAGAAATAAATAGCCCAACCCCTTTAACTAACCACCAAGTTGAACATGAGATATTACAGTCAATATTTTTGGCAAAATTAAGAAGAGGAGAAAAAAAAAAGTACAGATACATGCATTAAGAGGCATCAATTGGACCAATGTATGAAGCATCACATCCTGATGGTTATAACCTATAACACGATGGTGACTAGCCCAGATATATTGTCAGACAGGAGGGAACTAGATACCACTGCGTTAGAACCTTCTAGTTAGGCTCAATAAGAATGACATGTGGTATGAGTTGAACACATGCACCAGATGTGTAACTGTTCAATCAACAGGGTGTCATTAACACATTAACATGCAGCTGAAGCTGAGCCCTGTTATTACACAAAGGCACTCTTCTTTAAGCTGCAAAGACAGCAGCTGGGGATGTACACATGCCATGGATGGACTGTCCACGGACCACAGCCCAATGAGCGCAAATAATTTGAGTGGTTGAGATGTGGTAGTGCGGCATTCAGGGGGTTAAAACAGGTTGTGAGGAAGCAAAATATCACTTCCTCATCACTTGTTAAATGCCTCTGAAAAGTGATCTGCACTTGGATCACTTTTTAAAGGAGTGGCAGTCCTTAGGGAGGGGAGTACACATAAGATTAGTTTCCATAGCAAAGGGGAATTTCAAACGATAAGGATATACATTTTTTCTCGAACTAACAAATTTCTAACAGTGTATGTGGTTTTTGTTTGGTAAGGTCCATATGTTCTAAAATCAAATGTTAAACAGCAAAATGAAATCTTTCAAACATACAAATATTCTGAGAATTTTCGTATGAATTTTCAAAGACTTTCCTAAGAAATTTTGTTTGAAGACTCTATCCATCTATGGCCAGCTTTGGAATGCTTCGGTTAGTATTTTATTGCTGTTTTCATCCCTATTGGGATAGAAATGCTCTACAATGAGGACACAACTGAATTTTGTGTTACTCACCATAAAATCCCTTTCTCTGAGTTCATTGATGGACACAGCATCTTCTTCTTTATCCAAAACCAAACAGGGTTTTGTAGCCACACCTACAGGAGTAAGACACTCCTACTTTTCCTACTCCTGTAGGTAGGGCTATAAAACCCTGTTTGGTTATGAATAAGAAGATTGTTGCTGTGTCCATCAATGAACTCAGAGAAAACACGATTAGTTAAAGGGAGGAAAGGTTATCACATCTGATTGTTTTCATTGGTGTCCATACCTTCCTGTGACAACTGCTCAATTTCTTGTAAGGGTGTCACAGGTTTAGGAAGAGAGGGAAAACCATCCACACACAAACTCAACAGAAATATTAACTCTTTCAAATTCTATGCAAAACAAAGCAAAAATACACACTGGCCTAGAGTTAGTCTCTGTCAGGTATAGGGTGGCGTTTGAGTCATTACCTATTTTCGCACACGACCGTGCTGGTTCCTGATGATTTGCTGTGCTGGCCCATGGGGGTGGGGAGAGATCAGATCTCTGAAATTCCCAACTCCAATTCCATACACAAGACTTCCATTATTTGATCATGGTAGCTTAAATGAGCAGTAGGGTAGTGAAAGGAAGGTGCAAATCTGCTGCTGGGGAAGGGGACGCTAAAGCATATGTAAACACAAAAACAAAAATGTATTATATTGCAACGTACCAGTCCTTAGAATGTTGTGGCTGCACTAGTTTTCTTTTCTCTGGCTTTTTCTAATCTGAGGATTCTATCACCAACACATATCCTAACCTAGGGGAACGTCACTGTACTGTGTAGGAGCAGCGTTGTCACCCTAAGTGCGTTAGGACTAGAGAACACCTTCTCCTCATCTCCTTAACATAAGGAAAGGTGATCTGTAGTCTTCTAGGTAAACTGTGTCGATAAAACTGCATTCGATAAAACTGCATGAGATGACACTGCAGAGTAGACATAGTAACTTGCAAGATCCATGGATTTCTGATTAGATCAAAGGGTATTTTTAGTACTTAGACAAACAATTGAAAGTTTTATTAGCTTTTCTCAACAAAGGTGCCATCTGAGGTCTTCAAGGGTGACACGACATCCTGGTTGAGAAAGGCACTCAGATCAGAGCAAACTCCCACTGTTCTGCCGAACTGCACATCAGCACAGTGGGAACTTGATCAAGGCAGGAGAAGGCTCAGCTCTGCCAGTGGGCTGGGTCCTGCACCAACCAGGAGGCCAATGAGCCCCGCTGGCAGGGGAGGCGACTGGATGAATAGGGATGCCAGGTACATGAGGTTGCTTGACGTGCTCTATGAACTGAGCAAGCGGCTGCTTGTGTGGGGGAAGATCTGTTGGAGGTAGAGGAAGTGCTAAGAGGAGAGGTTGGAAAGGAGATATGTTCTGCTTCCGCAATCTAAGCACTGAATGTGTGATCTCTATAACTGTTCCAGTTGTGGTAAGATAGCTTCAACTTAGTCTCTCGACAGTCACTCGGGCCAAATGATGACATCTTGCAGATTACAGAAAATTTTAATTCAGAACTTGGGCAGATCATAGCAGATGAACATCAGATAGGTAAAAAAATATATAGTGTGTCTAGCCTTAGCAGAATACAGTACATGTGGTGAATTCAGGCTACAGCATAAAGGATGGGACTAACTATACAGAGCATTCCCTAGCTACCGAGTGAGGCAAGAACAAGATTGTTAAAGGCAAACAGATGATGCATAAGACTACTGGCAGCACCAACACAAATGGCATCAGTGCTCTGCACCACCTAAGGCTGACAAGACTGCAAAGTCTAGAGGTGACAGGCAGGGACACTGTCCAGGAAGCCTGCTTTGTATATTGTATATATGGCACATGCAGGATGCCATTGATCTGAAAATGAAGTAGGTGTTTCCAGGTGTGACAAGAGAGGTACTGGTGCCCAAAGTGTGGCTGGCTGGCGGCATGGCAATGCCCAAGGTGTGGCTGATGGCAGAGTAGTTCCCAAGTTTGCAGTGAAAGTTGCAGAGAAGCCGTGTTTGCCTACTGACAATGCCAGATGTATACTTTCCCTCACTTCCCAAGACAACTGTCTTGTGTCACTCTTCTAATGCTCGATCAGCAGCATACTGTACGTGTGTGTTTATATGTGTGTGTATGGATGCTACTTTTAATCTTGAACCCTAATCATGTACGATAAGAACTGCTTTTAAGGGCTTGTTCATAATAGCAGCAAGGACTGAAACTCCCCTGAAAAGCAATCCATGCTCAGATCACTTTTCAAAGGCATTTGACTGGCGGTGAAGAGGCAATAGGTCGACTCCTCAGCACCCGTTTTAAACCCCCTAAATGCAGCAGTCACTGTGCCAAAACCACATACAATGCACATGGTTGCAGCGCGGTCCCATTCAACTGGGGATATACTGCCTGCTGCTTACACAGCATGTAAATGACCCTGGCTGCTGCCTCTGCATATGGAGGTAGTGCATGGTTTTACAGTCCCCCAACCTCACGTTAGCAAGCCCTTGGTTCACATCTGCGTGATTGTGTGCTGCATATAGGGCAACCCCTTCATTTCAACACAGGAAAAAAAGTCCAGTAAATTAACAAAAAAATCATGCTACACCGAAAACACTCAATGTGTGGGGGCAGTGGCGTCCCAAGGCAGGTGCGGGGGGTGCAGTTCACACCGGGTGACACCGGACCCGCTCCAC